CACATCTTCCACACTACTTTCTCCTTAAACCCCACTTATCTCTTCTTACCCTATTTTTTAGATTAGGAATTATTTTTATTGCAGAAGCACCTAGAAGGCCCAGCTGTGATCATGGCCCCTTGCAAGGGACCATGATCACAGCTGGGCCATCTAGATATTACTGCAATAAAAATAGTTCCTAATCTAAACATGAAGATAGGTCTAGCCCAAAGACCTCACAACCAACGCAGCCAACAGGCATAAGGGTGGAAGGAGAATGTATTATCCCCATTATACAGATGAGGACAGAGGCACAGACAAAAGTGACTTGTCCAAGGTTAAGCTAGAAGTTTGGAGCAGAGTCAGGAACTGAAGCAAGATCTCTAGAATGCACTTGTTACCTCAAGAACCTCCTTCCTCTTGCTATATAAATTAACTGCTATCCCCAGTCTTCTCTTTGTCCTATTTTTGATAATGTAAGCTCTTTGGTCCCTGTTCTTTAAGGCAGGACATGTGTCTTCCTGCACTATGGAAAATCCATCTTCTGTGTTCCATGCTCTACTGGTGTTTTCTAATCACTTGTGGTTTCCAAACTTCCTAAAGTCATGGAACTCTTTCGTATCACCTCTTCTACCACGGAACTCCGACGTCTGGCTCTGCGGGCTGCACAAGCCAACCCAGAGCCGGGAGCCTTGCCCTTCAATGGTGACACACTGCCTTCTGGTCCAATCTACCATTACCTCCTATCTTTTTGTGGAACCCAGGGTCCCAGGGAACACAGTTCGAAAACCACTGGAACACACTAACCACGCAACATAGTCAAATGATGATTTTTCTACGTTCTGGCCTCCTGCACACTTAATATTTCATTCTCAATGTAAGTATAACATATGGTTTTGGGCACTGAGTAGACTGGCCCCAAACCGCTCAGCCCTTTTAAATATCTAGTAACAGCATTCAATTTCCTGACCTTGGAAAGCAATTAATTTTGTAGGCAGACTATCTGCTGCACAAAGTAATATTGTCTTTTCTTTCCCTAGGAAGTATAAATGTTACCTTGTTCTTGTATTAAAGGACATAGTAAAGGTAAGGGGACTGATCAGTTTTCATTCAACTCATCAGCACTCATCTTGGTGTTTATATACCCATGGAAATAAAGCTGTTTGAAAAGTGGATTTCTTCTGCTCTGCATGTCTCATTACACATGATTTACAAGTCTGCTTTTGTGCTTTTATCACTGGCACCCATCCTGAAAGGGGCCTTGCATGCATCCTTCAAAATATCTGCTGGGCATTTTTTTTAAACTTAAGCCTTCCATTCTATTTTAACTTAGTTATTTAACCCCTTGATCATGTTAATCTATTTTTAAAGAGGTGTTTGAATTGATCAGCATTCATGGTCAGTCAGATCTATTTTATGCAGCATTCAGTATAGCTGGTTTATATGCTCCAGACAGCAACCTGGAGAAAGGAGGCCCTACTCTCACTTTTGATTAACAAAGAAAACCTGGACACAGCGTTATATTATGGTGAGCAATGCCTTGAAGCATCAATGTACACGTCACTAGAAAAGGAACATTTCAATATTATGTGCGCTCTAGGGCACTCGGCAATTTCCTATTGGACCAGTCACATGCTTGCTATCTCCAGGGTCCTGAGGGTGTTGGCACAAACCACCAGAAATGGGAATATGCACCACTGGGAACTGTTAGAGTCAACATGCACCCATGCAAAATGGGAACCCCAGGAGATAAAAGACATACACATGCAACAAGTCTGCCAGGGAATGGAAATCCTCATGGCACTGCATATGAGCACTGGAAACTAGCAAGGACCCCAAGCCCCATCCTCTGCACATAGGGAAAGGTAAACCCTCACCTTCCAGGCAATACAGATATTTTATTCTAAAGATTCCCCAGAGAACAAACTCTGGCAGCTCAGGAGACAGAACAAGCAAAGGAAAGCACAAAGTGAAGGCCTCTGTCTTGTCTAGGGGAACATGGAAGTCTAAAGACCTGATGTGATTTAAGAAACACAAGCAAGGCGCTGAGCATTGCCTTCCTAGACAGCAAACACAACACGGAAAAACCTAAGGGCAAATCAACGAGTTTACCCCTTTCTGGCACCACTGAGCATGCTTCTTGACAAAGAGGCCAGAGCAATACCCTGCATTAGTAAACCCACTGCCAGAGCTACATGGTTGCCCAGCCATGGGAACAAGAGAAAGCTGCTTTGGGAGATATTAGAAATAGTGACTCATTTGAGACACTAGTGATATTTACAAAGTGCCAGACAGCCCCCAGTCTTGCTCTTTATTTGCCTAGGCTGCCATGTCAGTGAAGGAAGTCAAGCCAAAGGTCTCAGCTTTGGAAAAAAGTATCCTAGGTCTTTCTCCACATGCTTCTGAAGCAGAGGTGATGGGTTCTGGAAATAATCTTGGCTAGTCCTCCATGAGCAGAAGGGTACTAATTGTATTATGGGTCTCAATGGAGGAGAAATCAAGTAAAAGGTTTGGGGGAGGGGAGAGAATGGAAAAATGGAAACATTGTAGACTGAACAAGGAAGTGAATGAAAGGCCAGAGCTGGGGCTATGGTATCTTGCTTTTAGTCTGATCTCAGCTTATTACTTGAGACATACTTTAGACTCTGCTTTGCCCTCCGGGCCAAAATTGTAAGGAGAAGGCTAGAAGGTCACCATACCTTGCTCCAAGCAGCCCTTCATCTCACTAGAGCATGTCTATCTGGGTAAATAAGCCTCTAATTAAAAAACAAAAATCACCATCTTTGGTTCAACTGTGATGTTTGGTACCACTGCTTGTCTCATGAATAGGTATCCACCTACCATTCCCTCTAGAATCAAAGTCTTGGCTCATTCCCCTTCTCTGCCCACATCCTTTCCCCTCTCTTCTTTTCAATGCAGGTTTCCCCACATCCACATATATGGACTATATGAACGGTTTTACCATGAACAGACACACAAACACACACTCCCACAGCACATATCAGAGGCTAGCCCTGCCTTGCTATTTTTGCCTTTCCCTGCAGAGTCAGGATCTGGTTGGGAAGCAGTTTATAATGTGGCCTACCTTCTGATTCCTCCAGGTCTGAAACGCAAGCAGCAGCTGGGCTTCAGAGGTAAGGATTGGGGCTGCCTCTGTGAATCAGCAAAGAAGTCCCTGTGACAGGGATGCATGCTGAGGCTCAGAGCTGCTGTGTGCACGCTCTCACTGTCTCTCCTCCTCCAGCACCCCGTGCGGCTGTGTTGCTATGCAATCATATCACCAGGAGTAACAGCATCTCTCCAGCCTTAGGCAGATATACCCTTGATTTGGCAAATGCAAGAGGAACAAGGACAGTTCTGCAAAGTGCCTGGACCTCTTGGAAATTAATCCCAGGGAGGGAAGAAAGAATAAAACGGGAGATGCAGACGAAGAGATGTACACAGGAGAAGGAGGAGACAAAACACACATGGAGACAGAGAAGGAGACAGAAATACAAATACACACAAAGGCATGAAAGCCTGACCTCTGGAGACCTGATACAGGCTGCTGGATTCTCACAATCTCTTGACTGCCTGGTGATGTCTTTTGACAACATTTCTGAGGCAGTCAGGAGGTGTGGGGGGGTTCTCATGTTAGGGTGCAAATTTATTTTTAACCCTGGAAATTGCTACATGATTTTTCATTTAAGCAGCAGGAGGATTGGGATATTTGGGATGTTTATTTTACTTGTAATACAGGAAGTAAAGACTTAAATAAATATGTAGCTATGGTTAAAGGCCAAACAAAAAAAAATCACTTATTTTAAAACACATTTTTGTTTTTGCAAAAGAAAAATAGCTAGAGCCAGAATTGGGAGCCAACTCTCCCCAAATGTGGGTATAAAATCCTGATCTGAACTTTGCCAAGTTCAGTGATGTTTAAATTCAGCCCACTGGAGACAGGGCTCAAGCTGCTGAATTGGCTGTGAACCCAAAGGAAGACAGAGGGGTTTGGATTTTAGTCCATATGTCAAAGTTGCAGTTACATTTTGCACTTCTCTAATACCTTCCACTTGAGGGTCTGATAAAATACCCTGGTGCCAAAACTACTGTTCTCTAATTAGGATTAGGGAAAACAAAGCACTATACATTTGCAACCTGTGCCAAGCTGAGGTCACAGCTAGACTGCAGTGGGCTCTAGTTGATCCACAAGACTCTTTCCGTCTCTCCCTAAAATAATTAATGCTCTGAAAATAGCAACCCAGTGCCCCCTAAGGAACAAAGTTTAAATAGCCCTAGCTCTCCTCTGCCTTCCAAGAGCCTATTCAGGCCTAGCATGTTAAGTTTTCTAGGTATTAAGTCATGGGCCTCTAGAAATAGTATTGCCTTTACAGCTCCTTCTGCTTACAAAGGCCACCCTTCTTATGATATTCATCACGATTGGGAAAATTTCACTGCAACTGAAAATGAAGGCCTGCTTCCCTAATAAATGGCCAGATCTGTCAGAATGAGCAGAACTTTGGCTATTCATGATTCCACAGTGAAATACTGTCTATTCCCAACTGAGACATCCCTCACCTGTAGAAATGGAAGATGCTGCTGACAAATTACACCAAATCTGGGCTTCTTGTGGTAGATCCAGCCTATAATCTGTAATCTGGACTGTTAATGTCAGAGCTATTTAGTATATGGTTACCTGATGGAATCACTTTTTGGCAGCTGCAGTAAGCATTATTTTTGGATTGAGACCCCCCCAATATGTGCACACAAGATGGTTTTACTTCCAAACCTAAGTGAATCAATACAAGTGTGATTAAAGGAGAGGACAGCAATACAAAATGACCAGTGCTCACATTACTCGCACCCTTCTGCGAAAGGGACCCAAAGCAAGGGAGGTAAGAGTGTCACCATTCTGAAGTTCTTTTCTTCCCAGATAGCCCTGTAATGGAAAGCATAATTTATAGGGTGTTACAGAATTATAGAAGCATAGAAAATTATGGTTGGAAGGGACCTTGGGGGGGAACATCTAGTTCCCGCCTGTCCCTGCTTAAAGCAGGACCATCCCCAATTAGATCATCCCAGCCAAGGCTAGCTGGGTCTTAAAAATTTCCAAGGATGGAGATTCCACAGCCTCTCTGGGTAACCTGTTCCAGTGCTTTACTACCCTCCTGGTGAGAAAATTCTTGCTAATATCTAACCTAAACTTCCCTTCTGCAACTAGAGACTGTTGCTCCTTGTTCTATCATCTGCCACCACTGAGAACAGCCTAGCTCCATCCTCTTTCAAATCCCTCTTCAGGTAGTTGAAGACTGCTATTAAATCCCCTCTCCATCTTGTCTTGTCTTGTCTAGGCTAAATAAGCCCAGTTGCCTCAGAATGTCCTCAGAAGTCATGTCCCTCACCACTTTTGTTGCCTTTTACTGGACCCTCTCCAATTTGTCCACACCTTTTCTGTAGTGAGGACCCAAAACTGAACACAGTAGTCCAGATGTGGCCTCACCAGTGCTAAATAGAGGGGAATAACCACTTCCCTTGACCTACTGGCAACACACCTACCAATGCAGCCCAGCATACCATTAACTTTGGCAACTAGGGCACACTGTTGGCTCATATTCAGCTTGTCCACTGTAACCCCCAGGTCCTTTTCTGCAGACCTGCTGCCCACTAAGTCAGCCCCCAGCCTGTACTGGTGTATGGGATTGTTCCATCCTAAGTACAGGACTTTGCACTTGTCCTTGTTGAACCTCATGAGATCCCTTTTGGCTTAATCCTCCAAGTAATACCCACATCATTTTGTGCATATTTATAGTGGGGAACATCCCCTTTTTTATGACTGAGCATTTTAGAACCTAGTTATTTTGGGGTGGCACTTCCTATGGGTTAATTTCAAATTCTACCTTAAGCTTATTAGCATATTCAGTTACCTACTACAACACTACTTGTGGTTTATCCTGGTAGCTGCCTAGAACAGAGGTAGGCAAAATATGGCTGGCTGACCAGATCCAGCCTTCCAAGGGATTTTATCCGGCCCACAGTGGGTCCCTTGGCTCTGTCCGACCTAGGTACAGCCATGATGGGGGCAGCTGGTCCCACTGCCCCCAAGTGCCGTGCTGCCCCAGCCTCACTGCGCAGCTGAATATGCTTCCTGGCAGCCCCCATACCAGCAGTTCCTTCCATCTCCGCCGCCACTGCCGGACCTGGCGCTGCTGCCCAGGCACCCTAGCCCATCTGGCTTGCACCCCCTGCCGGGAGTGCCAGATGGAGTGGGCAAGGTCACCAGAGACCGGCCTGGGAGCCACACAAGCAGGGTGTGCTTGGCTGGGCAGAGGGATGTGGCCACAGGCAAGGAGCAGCATGTAAGAAGGAGGACAGGTGGATAGGGCTGGCGCTGTGACTGGGACCGCAGGGTGATGACAGAGTAGGGCTGGGACTCAGAGCACAGCCATGATCCACTCTTTGCATGTCCTTGTGATGTGCACCAATTCAGCAGGCAGGGAGGGGAAGCTATGAATGTAACTAGCTAGAAAAGGGGAGAATTGTTTCAAAATAAACAGCATGTGACCTGTGCCACCTACACACAGGGAGAAATTTATACATGAAGCAGCAAGTAACACTTTGACCATAGGGGCTTATAGCACAGTTCCCTCACAGAATGAACAAAATAATCAGTAAAGTAGGTGCATACAGGCCTCCCTGCTTTAGCTACCCTTCCAATAGCTTCCTGTAAACATTTCTACTGTTGTTATGGAATTTATTAAACAATATTGGGTAGTTTGGAAAATCATACAGTCTTCAGACCAACACTGTCAACTTGTACACCAGGGGTCAGTAACCTACAGCCTGTGTGCTGGACCCAGCCCACAGAGCCATTTTATCCAGCCTACAAACATGGGCCTTTGGTGGCATTTAAGGGCAGGGGGCTTTGGTAGTAGTTGTTATCTGTTGCTACCGTGGGAGCTGCAGGGCCTTTTCCCTGGTTGCTGTACAGAAAAGCAGTTGTGGTGGTGGGGTCCTAGCCCCCACTACCTTTTTTACCTTGTCAGTCTGGCCTGCAGTCTTTACAGGTTGCTGACCACTGCTCTACACAGTCTTATTTTCCATCTTACCAACCCTTTAGTTTCATGAATGTATAAAGAAACAATGTATTGTTGGGGGGGGGGGGGG